ATCCTTTGCGTTGGGAGAGTTGCACTACTTACTGTTACCAATGAGCAAAACAACTTCGCAATGACACCGATGCGCATTCATAACTTTGAGACTGATTCGAGCTCGCAGAACAAGATTCAGACGATATGGCGGGAAATTGTGCAATGGAACTTACATGGTCCCACGCGGGGGGCTGTTATTGCAGCTGGAGATTTCAACATAGCCCGGATCCACTTGCAGCTGCGTCGACCCTGTCAACGAGGATTTGTTCCTGGCACCGCCCCTGGCGCACGTGGTCGGGGTGCGCAGCCACTCCAGGGTTACTCGGAACGTCTCTTCTCAATGGTTGCGGAAACAACGGCGGACTGCCCTATTCACGATTGCAGAGACACCGCCACGGCAGCAATACTGGATATAATATTCATCGACATCCCCTCTCACTCTCCTTTCGACGTGGAAGTGTTGGCAGAGGTGGGCGTTGATGCGGCAGCCACATCCGACTCCAGATTCAGCCACCGCGCGCCGATATCTCTATCACTGCGTGACCGTATCAGGCGCGATCAACAGACTAGTATCCCTGAGCAGGTATTTCGAGACCCTTGCTTTGGGGAAATTCTTGGGCAATTAATTGAGGCAGCTCAACTGAACCGATTTTCTTCGGCCTTTAAATAGCGATGCAGGAAGGACTTCGCGACGGAAGCGGCGCCGCAAGGACGCGATGAACTTCGGCGCCTTAAGCTTTCATCGGAGGTCAAAGGACGATCGTTCCAAGGTGGCAGGCTCATCGCATTGCGAACGATTCCGAGATGCATCTGGCGCAATGGCGCCCGCGCGGCACAGACGCTGAACGTCGCCGCCCCCGACGGTGCCGGCTTCGTCGACGTCGCCAGCGAAGTCGTCGTCCTCTGCGAAAGGGAGGAGCTCGCCCTCATTACCCGCGCTGCCACCTACGAGCCCGGCCAGGTGGAGGCCAGGCCCGCCGGGGGCAGGGCGCCTAAAGGGGGGGGGAATTTCGGCAGAAGATGAGAGAAGAGCTGCGCTCATGCACAAAAGGAGAGCTAACTTTTGGACCCCCAAGACCCGTCGTCTCCCCCTCGTTGGGATCCGCCCAGGAAGTCAGCAGGACTCGCCAGCCGCGGCCAGGGGCCCCGAAGAGATCGCCGCCCTAACCGCCCACTGGAGATCAATCTTCATTGCCAAAATAGTTCAGGGGGACGCCCTGCAGGAATATCTCAGCGAAGTTGCCCCACAGCAAGCCCCTATGCATCTTAGAATTCCAACTGAAGCAGCGCTGCGTCGAGCTCTTCTTCGTGCTAGGCGCTCTGCCCCTGGCCCTGATCAGCTCTTGCATTCAGCGTGGAAGGCTCGTCCCGAACAACGAACAGTCCGGCGTCGTCTTATGGTTCATCTGCATGGTGGACACCTTGTGCCCCTGGAGCTTAATGATCGCCTCTTCGCCTGCCCCCCAAAACGTTCTGAACCGGAAGATGCCCAGGGATGCGTGAGAAATTTTGGAATAGTCAGGCCCCATAGTCTGCGGATACCGACGCCAAGATCACGGCATCAGCTACTGACTTCCGAATCCGACAGGCTGCTCAAGAGCTCGCTCATGAGGCCCAACAAGGTTTCATTCCAGGACGCAACTTCCCGCCCAACATTATCACCCTCGACTCAGGCTCGCAAGGCCAGCGTCACCCCCGTGGCCGAGAAGGACCTCCCCGTCTTTGCCCCTTATGACGTTGAGGCGGCATTCCTATCTCTGGGGCGTCAGCGGCTACTCGCGATTCTGAGTAGGGTACGACTTCCAACTGGGACTCTTGAATGTCACTCCAGCGTTGTATTTCCTCCCCAGAGGTTCTGCTTATATCCAAAACCAGACTGTCTTTTTTATGTTAACTGTTGCTCGGGAGTGCTCCAAGGATGCCCACTTCCTGGATCGCCGTGGGCCCTAGCCATGGACCCGGTCCTAAGATGTCTATATGCTGCCACGCAACGCCCGAAGGCGAGGCATCACAAGGGCGCCCTGAAGGGTGCGCGGGCGACGGCGGAATGGTTATGCCACTTCTTCAGGACTTGGTAGGGGTCTCTCAAGCTTTTCTGCACGTTGAACGTTCTGCTTTCCTCGAACTTCAAGCGGCCAAATGTGTTCTGGCCCCGCTGTGGACCGAATGCGCAGCCGAGGTCCAAGCTCAGGTCCGAAACGAACTTCGTACCTGGATCCCGCATTGGCAGAAATCTAAGATAGCGGGCCACGCTACATACCTAGGTGTAGAGATGGAACCCGCTGGCACACCAGGGAATCTGTTGGCAAGCGCTGCAGAGAAGTTGTGGAAGGGGGCGGTTGCTCTCCCATTTTCTGGGGCTGCACCGAGTGTCCTTGCTGTCCGGTGCAACGCCACTGCTCTCCCCAGTCTTCTCGCATCTTGCTCAGCTCTTCTGCATCCCTGCCGTGGTGCGTGAGCTTGAGCAGCAGGCGCTTCACAAATTGCTGAGGCTCCCGCCGAACAGTCTCAGTCTTTCAGATCTGAATGCCCTCCCATCACTAGTTACCATTGCTCCATCACCCGTCGCCCTGCTTGGATGGGCCAGCAGCTGGCGCATTTCATTTCGAACCGCGAATCATGTCTGGCAGCGCGCGCTGTACAATCCCACGATTGTTCGCCTCATCGCAGGCAAATTGTCGGCCTCCTGCTGGAAGCGCCCATTCTCGATCGCCCAGTTCTTAGAGCGAGCTCGTCTTCCCCCGCCACGGTGCCATGACACAGAAGGATGGCGGCAAGCATGTGGGGATGCGCGCGAACGCGCCATCCTCGCCCGGAGCGAGTTTCGCCGCCCGCACCAGCAACGCATTTTTCCCCGCCCCCTTCGCGTGCGCATCCTTCCTGACACATTCCAGGCTGCTCTCTGCAAGCGTGTGCTAGCGTGGCAGGTCATTGCTCCTGGGGGGGCGGAGGTGGGCAGCGGGTCGGCGGGGCGCATGTAAGACCGGCCTCGCTCAAGCCTGCAGGGCAGTGGAGCATCATCAAGACATCTTTGCGGTGGTTGGACGACCACTCACAGACTGCACATAGGCAACCCGCCTACCACATACATCTGGGGCTGCCAGCAGCCCGATGAGTTTGCGCACTATTCAAGATGCCCCACAATTTTCCATCACCTAGCCATGCGTCCAGCGTGGAGGAGGCGCCACTTCCTCGGTTTGCCTCTCACACTGCTTGGCTGGGGGCGGGATTCTGACTGCGAGGGATCAGAGCTCGCGCGCACGGGATGCTTACGCGCAGTGGTCCTCGCCCATCTTATGTATCATAAGGCTATAGATTTCGCCCAACACTCGCCGATGTCACTGGCCAGAGCGCAAGACATCCGAGGTGCTGCAGAGATCGCCATGTAGCGATACATTTCATCTTCATTAGTTTCGCTTTTCCTTCAGCGCGGGCGGGGTTGGGTCTTTGTATGATTGGGGGGGGAGGGCGATCGAAGCGCCTGGTCCGTCTGCATGTTGCGGTTGAGGACTCTCCCGCAGCGCTCGGCGCCTCTCGGTCCTCCCTGTTGGGGGTGGGTTCCGTCCTGAAGGGACAAGTCTGCCTCTTCTTTTTTGGCTTCGCATATGAGGCCCCATATTTTCATATCTGGTCTGATTCGAGCGCCTTCTTTTCGTGGGCTGTGCTGGTGGCGGAAGTGGCAACGGGTTGCGACGCCCCGCCGCCCATCAGCAGCCCACTCCCCCTCCGGTGCCCTTCGATGCTCACGCGTCGACCGAGGTCGAGGTCGGCGGTCGGACGGACCTTCTCGGGTACGTCGCCTCCTCCTGAGCGTGTATTGATTGCCCCCTCCTGAGCATCTCGTGTTTTTTTTACACTCGGGTTCGCCTGACTGTGCGGCACGCCCATCCATCATGTTATTCTCATGTTGTTGTGGAACACTTCCATTTCATTTCATGCCATGCCATTGCATTTCGTTACATGCCATCTCATCGCATCTCATTTCCTCCTCCTCCTCCTCTTCCCCCCCTCGCTCCCTGCTTTCCTCCTCCTCTTCCTCTTCCTCCTCCTCCTTCCCTCCTCCTCCTCCTCCTTCCCTCCTCCGCCTCCTCCTCATCTTCCGCCTCCTCCTCCTCGTCCTCCCCCCCCGCCCGCTTCCTCCTCCTCCCCCTTCTGCTCCTCTGCCCTCCCTCTCGCCCATCCCCTCGGCAAGGGCCGCCAATACGCATCGCCGGTGAGGGCCGCCAGTAGGCCTCACACCCCCCACAGTTTCCATCAATGGGGCTGCGAGGCTTCCCGCTCCCACCAGTCAACCTTCAACTTCGCCGTCAATTGGCACGGACGGGGCCGAACACCCCCTTACGGCCCGTCGGCCAATGAAGACGGTCATACGGGGGCGCCTCTGCCTTGCTCCCCCTCCTCCTCCTCCTCTTCCTCCTCCTCCTCCTCCTCCTCCTCTTCCTCCTCCTCGTCCTCGTCCTCGTCCTCGTCCTCCTCCCCCTCCTCCTCCTCCTCCTCCTCTCGTCCTCTCCTCCTCCTCCTCCCCTCCTCCTCCTCCTCCTCCTTCTCCTCCTCCTCCTCCTCCTCCTCCTCGCACTCCTCCTCCTCCTCCTTCTCCTCCTCTGCCTCCTCTTCCTCCTCCTCCTTCTCCTCCTCTTCCTCGGATTCTGCCCATCCCGCAAGGAGTGCCGATTCGGAGCAGCGCGTTCGGTGTCCAACGACTCGCACCTTCTTGGACTCGAAGTTCGGCACAGGATGTGTGCCTGAGCTTGGGCCCGACCCCACTGTTGAGCGGATCGGGGTCGACCTCATCCGAGGCGTTGCGCTATTCGGGTTCTCCTCCCGCGCTCAGGCCGAAGGGCTTGGGCAACGGGTCCTTGACAGGAAACGCCGCGCGGAGGCCGATCCCTCGGATGACGTGTTGTATGTTTAATGTGGTGGCACCTTCAGTTTGTGTGGGCCTCCTCCTCTTCCTCCTCGTCCTCCTCCTTCTCCTCCCCTTTTTCGTCCCCCCTTGCTCCCCGCCCCGACGGGGCAGAGGCCGCCTGTTCCTGGCCGGGGACAACCGCTTCGGCCAGTTGGGACAGCCGCTGCGCGCGGTGGAGTGGACCAGCGCCTTCACCGAGGCGCGCGGTACGCCCATCGGGGTACTCCCTTCCCTCTTCCCCTCCTTCCCTCCCTCTCTCTCCCCCCTCCCCTTGTCCCTCCTCCCTTCCGTCCCTCCTCTTCTCCTCCCCTCCCTCCCTCCCCTCGTCCCTTCTGTACCCCCCTCTTTCCCCCCCCCTCCCTCCATTATTCCCTCCTCCCTCCCTCCCCTCTTTTCCTCCCTCCTCCCCTTTTCCCTCCCCTCCCTCCCTCCCCTCGTTCTTCCTCCTCCGCCTCCTCCTCCTCCTCCTCCTCCGCTCTCCCTTTCTCCCTCTCTCCTCTCCTTCTCCGCCCGCTCTCTCCCTTCCCTGCCTCCCCTCTCTCCCTCCCCTGCTGCCTCATCCCTCTTCCCTCCCCTACATAATCGACATTCGTCGCCTGTATCTTTACTAAGATTGTATTTTCCACATTGCTGGACAGACAAGGCGAGGGGGCAGCGGTGACTGTGGGCGAGTTGCCCAGTCATGCCATCGGTTTCGACTGCGCCCCTCCCCGTCGTTGCCCCTGACCGACGTTTGCGCGCCCCGCGCCTGCTTCCGCGTTCGCCTGCCGCCCGCCCGCCCGCGCTTGCCGACGCTCGCTCGCCGCGCCGCCTGATGGGTTGTTCTCTGGCGCGGCGTTCGCTCGGTCAACGGCTGCGGCCCGAAAATTGCAGACTCGGGGCGGCCGGGACTTCTCGGGAAAACAGGGGGGGGCCAAAATTAGGGCAGGCGCGCGCTATTCTGGCGCGCGCTTCGCATTGCCGCGCAGTCGCCGCGTCTCCGAAGAAGGGGGCTCGAAGGTTTGGGGGGGGATCCACGGGGGCGATTGCGTTTACAAGGCTCGTTCCCAACCTACCTGTGTTGTTGGGTCCTCGTTTTGAATAGACGGTCCCCGCGTCTCCTCCTCCTCCCTCCTCCCCTCCTCTCATCATCATCACCATCATCACCATCATCATCATCATCATCATCAGCATCATCATCATCAGCATCTTCATCTTCATCATCATCATCATCATCACCACCACCACTACCATCATCATCATCATCATCATCATCATCATCAGTATCATCATCATCATCATCATCATCATCATCATCATCATCATCATCACCACCATCATCATCATCATCATCAGCATCATCACTACCACCAACATCATCATCATCATCATCATCATCAGCAGCAGCATCATCATCATCATCCGTCATCATCAGCATCGTCATCGTCATCATCGCCATCATAATCATCATCATCATCCTCATCATCATCATCCTCATCATCATCATCATCATCATCATCATCATCATCATCATTTCGGCACACCCCTCACACGTTTCGTGGCCCCATAAGAGCTCCGCCGAAGGTCCCAGTGGCACAGTCCGCATGCGTCCCCGCCACTCATTTCGGCCCACCCTCACACGTTCCGTGGCCCCATCGGAGCGCCGCCGAAGGTCCCAGTGGCACAGTCCGCATGCGTCCCGCCATTCATTTCGGCCCACCACTCACACGCTTCGTGGCCCCATAGGAGCTTTGCCGAAGGTCCCAGTGGCACAGTCCGCATGCGTCCCCGCCACTCATTCCGGCACACCCCTCACACGTTTCGTGGCCCCATAGGAGCTCCGCCGAAGGTCCCAGTGGCACAGTCCGCATGCGTCCCCGCCATTCATTCCGGCACACCCCTCACACGTTTCGTGGCCCCATAGGAGCTCCGCCGAAGGTCTCAGTGGCACAGTCCGCATGCGTCCCCGCCGCTCATTTCGGCATACCCTCGTGGCCCCATAGGAGCTCCGCCGAAGGTCCCCGCGGCACAGTCCGCATCCGTCCCCGCCGCTTCGGCCCACCCCTCACACGTTTCGTGGCCCCATAGGAGCTCCGCCGAAGGCCCCCGTGGCACAGTCCGCACGCGTCCCCGCCATTCATTTCGGCACACCCCTCGCACGCTTCGTGGCCCCATAGGGAATTCCATCGAAGGCCCCCGTGGCGAAGTGGGGAACGGCAAGAAGGAGGACGACGACTGGTGGCTGGAGCTATACGCGCTGCTCTCGCGCGCCACGCGCCACGAGGACCTCCTGCTCACGCGGGCGCCGCGCATCGAGTTCTTCCTGGCAGAGCCGCCGGAGGGCTTGCGGAAGCAGCTGGAGCAGTTTGCTGCGCGCACGAAGCGGTGCAGGAGGGAGGCGACGGCCCTCGCCAGGGAGCTGGGCGTCACCGAGTTTATCCGCGAGGCCCGAGCCTCGCCGTCTCTCGACGGTCTGACTAATTGTTTGGCCTCGCGCCGCGGACGACCCGCGCGCGTCGCTGGGGCCCTCTCGGGGCGACCGGCGCGCGTCGGAGGAACTCCGTGCTGCGTTCTGCCCAGCGCCTCGCTCGCCCATCGTCGCTCTGCTGCCAGCGGCGAGAGCCTTGCCCGCTATCAGCCAGCCAGCTAGCTCTCTTTGCTCCGCGCAGCGGACGACCCGCGCGCGTCGCCGGGGCCCCTCCGGGACGACCAGCCCGCGTCGCGGGGACTCCGCGCTGCGTTCTGCCCAGCGCCTCGCTCGCCCGTCGTCGCTCTGTCCAGCAGCGACAGCCTTGCCCGCTATCAGCCAGCCAGCTAGCTCTCTCTGCTCCGCGCAGCGGACGACCCGCGCGCGTCGCGGGGCCCCTCCGGGGCGACCTGCGCGCGTCGCGGGGACTCCGCGCTGCGCTGCGCCCGCAGCCTTGGACTTTTGAGCGCGCGGGCGACGAGGGAGCATAAGAAGGGGAGGAAGCGGGCGCGATCCTCGCGGGGGGGCGCGCCGACATTGGCGTCGCGGCGCGCGGGCGATGCCGTCGGGGAGCCCCGGGGAAGCCCCTTGCGGCGGCCGCGCCCAGCGTTGCGAGTATTCAGAGGCAGCCATTCTCCAACTATTGACATTTATATACAAGTACACCATGCTTTGTCATACTCGCACTCATGCACGTAGACTCGCTCGCACGCAGATTCATTCGCAGTCAAACGCACTCGCGCTCAGATTCACCCGCGCTCAGTCTCCCTATGCACTCAGATCGATCGTCTTCGTTCGCGTTGTGTGCCGCGCCATTCACTTTGGCGCGCCCCTAGCATGGTTCGTTGCCTCATAGGGATCGCCGCCGAAAAAGTGAATCACAATTGCGGCGCTCACGCCTGCATATGGTTGGGTCCTTCGTCGGGCTAATTGATTTTTTCGCATGCGTTCAGCTTTCGTTCCGCGGTGCGCGGGGGCCTCCAGCGGGAGTTCCCAGCGGGCCCATTCCAGCGTCCGTGAGCACCCTTGGTCGACAACTCTTGTAATCGCGCGGCTGGGTGGTCATTTGGCGGAGCGTTCGCCCGACCAGCGGCTTCCGCCTTACAAGTGAAAACTTGGCGCGGCCGTCGGAAAAAAAAACAGCGGTATTCAAACATAGGACGCGCGCGTGCTTTGGGGGGTCTCGCTTTGCATTTCACGCAGTCGTCGCGAATCGGAAGCGGGGCCTTCGAAGACTGGGCCGGGCCCAGAGAAACGACTGCCGTTGCGGGACTCGTCGTTTGTCCCCGCGCGTTTCGCGGGCCTGCGCCCCCCCCCCCTTCGCCCCGCCCGCGCAGCTCATTCACCTCCTCCCCTGCCCTTCCTCCGCCCTTGCAAACGCGCGCGCAGGCGCGCGGGCGCGCGCGCGCAGACATGCTCTCTCTCACACACACGCACACGCACTCTCTCTCTCTCTCTCTCTCTCTCT